CAGCGCACTATTTCAGCACAGGTATGTGTGTGTCAGTCCTGGGAGATGGCATGAAGCTTGGTTTATTTCCCCTCTCACTTTTCAGTTAGCAGCTATAGTTTTAGCAGCTTTACCATATTCCACTGTACTTCATGCCATTCCTACCTGGCAAACCTGTATCTTGTGGCTGTTTCTGTAGAAATTAATCCATACAATTATCTTGTCTCTTCCTTACAGGACACACTTGCCTATGCCACAGCACTGCTGAATGAAAAAGATCAGTCTGGAAGCAGTAATGGGTCAGAAAGCAGTCCAGCCAATGAGAACGGAGACAGACATCTACAGCAGGTAATTAACAATTAAATGAGGGCATGTTCATTGTCAGTTGCATTGCTCAACTTGTGTGTGGAGTTTGGGTCAGAACCATCACTGAATGTAATCACGATAATTGTGTGCCTGATGAAAAATAAGTAATGTGCCATATCTTTCTCTCCCCACCCCTTGTGTGTGTTGAAAGGGCTCAGAGTCTCCTATGATGATTGGTGAGACTAAAAGTGACCTTGATGATGTTGACCCGTAAAAGGATACCCGTGAACCCAAGAACAGATCAACTCTAACATTTAATGCCTGGTACCTGTTGAAACCTAGAGTCCTATTGCTTATGCTATTACAAGAGTCTGGAAGAGAAGGATCTATGGCAATGCTGAAGAAGGTTGTTTCCCTGAAAGCTAAAAGCATTTCTTAGCCACGAAGGCTTCAGATTGACAAATGCTCTAGAAAACTGCATCTTCACCTGCAGTAGCTTATGACAGTCCAGACACCAACAACATTTTTGTCAAGAAGATTTTATCAAATACACAAACGCTAGTGGTTGAATTTTTATGTGAACATTAAATGAGTGAATGTAAAACTGTTGCTTTTCTGTGATGCTGCAAAAAAAAATTCTTTTGGTTTTTATACAGAGAAAAACCAGACTGCCCTTATGTATGGAGGGCAAATTTTTAATCTTTCTGATAATATTGAATAGGAATATTCAAATTTCTGTATAAAGATGTGTGATGACTTACATTTCATTGTAAAATATTAGTTAAAGAATCAGTTTACATAAGGACTTCTGTATTTAATATGTCTCCCTGCTCATTTGTAAAGCTCTTCAATGGAAGGATCAGTAAGATTGCTCTGCAAGGAGAGCAGCTCCTTACAGAAAGGTTTGGTCATGGAGCTTCTCGCGTGGCTTGTCTTTTGGGTACCCTTCCAAAAACCACAGGCAGTCAGGAAGGGCCGCAAGAGAAAAAGGTTCTCAAGGTATGCAAGTGTTTATGAAAGGATGTTGGTGGATTTAAAGAAATAATAATTAAAAAAAAAAAAAAAAAAGTAGTTTAAAAGAAAAGAAGCACTTTAAAATGGATTTCTGTTGCAGTTTTAGTCATGAATTTTTTTACTTTTGGAGACATATTGAATCGAACGTAGTCTCGATCCTGTGACCTGCAATCACTTGCTTGTGCTTTCAAATTACTGAGAAAGTTAGTATTGGTTGTACATGATGAATAATTCCTTGATTGAGTTTGGGGACACTGTCGTGCAGATTTTATTAAGCAATTTTAACACAGGGAAAGAGTGATTTGGCTTTGTTTATATTTTCACTTGACCAGGCAACATTTAAAATATCACAGCTCTTTTGATTTGCTCGTAAACAACTGGAAGGCAGTTGGGATGATGGGAGCATGGTTTTGTTTTCCATATCAAGCTTAGTTCAGTGACTTCTGGTTCTGGATGCTAGCTTCTTTTGTGCCAACTAACTTCTTACTTTGTACATTTGCGTTTGTCACATTTTCTGCACTGCTTTTTGCCTTTATTTATGGATTCTGCCTTACTTTAGAAATTATGTAAACAAACATGCACAGAAATGGGAGGGCATCTCAAGGAGTGCCTGGGCACCTCCAGAATAGACAAATTTGCCAAGTTAAAGGCACAACCAGCCAAGAAGTGCCTTTTTTTCTTTCTACGGACTGTTGCTGAACCAAGAAGCAGCAGACAGCTTTTCACTGTTGTGCACTAATATTGAAATTAACCAGTCATTTCACTGTTGGAAGCAAACATCTGATATGATTTCAGCTGTACAGCTTTATAACTTATTGCGGGTTAAGAGAAACGTGTCGTAAATGGCGTGTGCAAAGATGCAAGGGTGGCATTGTAGTGAATAGCTCACCTTTTGTTGCTTGATGTTTCTTTTTTCCAAACAATGTCTTCATGGACACGTGGCAAAGTTAGCATTTTATAAATGTTTCTGATAATGTGCTGGGACATTTTAAATGTGTGACGTTTTAAATTAATTTTGAATAAATCGTTTCTTACAGATGCCCTTTCTTCCTTCCCCCACCCCCAATCCTTTGTAATGGGCCCTAAGTCTTCACAGATAGTCAGTACACAGCGGTGATGGTGATGGAGGAAGCTGGTAACGTTGCTGTGGGTTGGCACCACTTGTCACTTCAGGTTCCTGTTATTTCCTATGGAAACAACGTCCTCGATTACTGCATGCCCAGAGAAGCACTGATGGGAGAACTGCATCAGGATGGCTCATCACCACTGTATACTTGAAACCAATACAAACTTTTTCATGGTTCTGCTCACGCTTGTACAAAGTCGATGGTTTTAATTTGCAATGAGGTGATACTCGGTCAGTTATTTTGGTTTCCAGCTGCTGTCATTTGAACCTGCTGAAGATTATTTTTTTGGAAAAATAGAGTTCAACAAAACTAGTTTTTGTGTAAATTGTGATGCATTTCTATGTTGTACTTTTTACTGCCGATCTTTTTGGATGAAAATGTTTTTATACAGCTTACATGATGTTCGGTGAGGAGCAGCCTCAGCCTGCCTGTGAGCATTTGGGGAGATACTGTCCAATTAATACATGAACATGTGGCACTGGAAAAATAGGCAGTCTTGATAAACAGTCTTGGGATTCCTGGTCAATGGAATAAAGTTATTCCTTTCACAGAAAACTAGTGTAGTCTTTAGACTGTGCAACACAGTGTCTTGTGGATCCTCTTGAAAGTTCTTCATCTGGTCCTCTGGATAATGAGCTCTGAGAGGTTACCCTGCTTACTGGACCTGCCAGGAGCAAAGCAAAGCAACTGCACAGCCTCACACTGGGCATGTTGTGGTGCCTGTCAGACTGTATCTGTCTGCAGTTCCTTTTCCTGACCTTATCTGAATGATTTACCCTAGCTCTGCTTGCCGTCGTGGATTAGACTGGCTTCTGTGTGCCTCACAGAAAGATGAGCAGATGTGTTGGTGCCCAGTGCAGAGAGCTGTGCTGCTATCCCCATCACCTTTCTGCTTTCCTTTGCAAGCAAAGGTAGAGGCCTCAGGGCATGTCAGCACAAGGACTTTGTGTTTCGAGCATCACCCAGCCTGCAGCCTCTCCTGGCAGTGCCTGCCCTGGAGGAGGACGGGGTATCAAGTACACTGCTGCTTCTCTGGCTGATAAAACTGCCTCAGGTGCCCTTAGGTAACAGGATCCCTCAGGTTTACCTTGCTGGGTTTTTTGGCTTTTTTTTTCTTCAGTGTGATCCCCAGAACAAACAAGATTAGTTTTTCTGCTTACCTGCACACAGATACTGAGCAAGGGCTGATCTCGTTCCCGTATCATTGCCCTTCACTGATCTCATGTGTGTGAACTGAGCCGTGAGAGCTGTGCGGGACTCTGCTGTGTGAGCATCCCCATGACTTCTGCCTGCAGCAGTGGAGAAGTGCTTATGGCCCCTGAGTGCCTTCAGTCTGCTGGAAATTGCCAGCTGTGCCAGGGCTTTCTGTAAGCTCTCAGCTAACAGCCCTCTTTTTTTCCCTCTGTGTGAAGATTGAAGCTGATAAAGCTATGGGTTGTGATTATCTACATGTGTTATGTAATTACATAGGTTGGGGTTGGGCTTTTGCCATCTTTACCTAAAGAGTTAGAAATGGTTCTAACCTCTCCAAGCAGTGCTTCCTACCTGGGGTCCTGGTGCAGTTAAAGCTGGAGCAGTCTCGTGTCTGTACCAGGCATTCCAGTGGGGGAAAATGCACCTAAAGCTTGACAGATCCACCTGTACCCGTGTTGTCAAGCTTCATTTTTAAAGCTGTCCTCAACACAGCACCAAGCAAATTCTATTCCAGTAACAGTGAGCTGCTGCTTCCTGAGCCCTGCGCTCACCTGCTGGGCTCGGACCTTGCCGCCTGCCTCCTGGAGTCGATGGCAACAGCACCAAGGACGTTTCCTGAAGCTGGGGGATGTTTCCACAACTTGAAGCTCTTGCATTCCGATGCTGTTTGACAAACAAACGGCTGTGTCCCAAACAGAGCAGAGCTCAGAGACCGCGTCCCAGCTCCTCCCTGGAGCCTTTCCCCCTGGCCATGGACAGAAACCAGAGCGTGGGTCCCATCTGTTAAGTGCTGCTCTAGGAATTTTATTTTTAGAAGACATTTATAAAAAGGTTTATTTATAAAATTCCAAATAAATATTGAAAGTACAGACATACAAACTGAAGTGCCACAGAAGACGGTTCTTTTTTTTTGATAAGGAAGCGCAGCTGGGTCTGTTTGGAGCTGCGGAACAGAGCAGTGTGGAACTCCAGCAACAAAAACCACACTAATGGAGCAGCAGCTGATTCTGTAGCATTGCAAGCTAAAATCTAATCAAACAAGCAGAATTAAAATTAGGAGCTTTGCAGTGGCTGGAAAGTAAAGAAATCTTCCAGGTACCTGAGTCGGCAATTTTCAAACCCCCTGGAAATGACTCAACTGTTAGCTGAAATTAAGGACAGGAGGAGCTTTGTTGGTACAGAGGTAGGAGCTGTGTGGTGTCACGAACGGCCGCTACAGTCACTGTACGAACAGGAAAGGGGTTGGGAAATGGCGGCAGGGCAGCAAGCTGCCTGTGCTGGGGGTGAGGGCTGGGGCTCAGGCAGGCTGTGGTGGGCTCCGTGGCGCTGCCCTGCCCTGCCATCAGCCAGGCCTGCTGCGACACTGCCATCAGCCCATCCCTACTGCTGGCTCCGGCAACAAACGGCGACAGCCCCTGGCGCGTGGCTGCCAGCAGTGCTGGCTGCAACACAGGTGTCATCCACAGCGTAGGACCCCAAGGTGCCGGGGCCCCGCGAGCGAGCGCTGCAGCCTGTCAGCGTCCAGCCAGCATCGCAGGACACCGTCACCTGCAAGGAGAAGGACGGATGGGCACCGTCACCTGGACGAGGTGCAGCCACACAGCATCGCTCCGTACCTTGTCTGCAGAGCCCTGCAGTGTGAGCTCCTTCACGCGGCACTGCAGCGTGGCAGCAGGGCAGCAGGATGCACGCGCTGTGCCCTCCAGCCTTGTCCTACAGCCACCAAGCCTGCTGCCCAGCCCCGGCACGGGCCTGCCGCCGTCACCCAGCACAGCCACAGGGGACTGGAAGCTGCAGCCTGCACAGAGACGGGATGTGGGAGCAGCACTCAAGGATGCCTCCACCGAGCTCCGGGCCCTAAGGGCCCGTAGCTGTGTTACAAAGTGTTACCAGTCGGCACGTGGTCCTGCAAGGAGCAGCCAGCCGTGTCATCGCCCTGGGAGCTGGCGCTGAGCCGGCACTGGGTGTGGGGCCACGTGCAGCACCTGGCGATGGCGTAGACCCCCCAGCCCCCAAAGGCGCTGTGGGCCACGCACTGCTTCTGCCCTTCCTTGTCCTGCGACCGAGAGCATGGCATCACTGGCACGCACCTCACAGACAACGCTTTTGGGCCACATTGTGCCTCACCTCCATGTGCTCGCCCAGCCACCAGCCGCTGTGTGAGAAGCTGGAGCAGCCCAGCAGCTCCTCGGTGCCGGCACAGCAAGCCACAGCTGTGGCGTGCCAGGTGGGCGCTGAGCGTGCCGACCACACCGAGCGGCACAGCAGCTCCTTATCTGCAATGGGGTGAGAGGTGTCAGTGCAGGGCCCGCAGCACGTTTCAGGCACTGCCATCCCCCAGCCCTCACCTGGGCCCAGCTGGGCAGGCAGCCCCACCACACTGCTGGGTGTCTGCAGCCGCTGCTCCTCTGGGATCCAGGCCTTGCTGACAACATTCTTGGTGGCCAAGCTCAGGAGGCGCTGCCGCAGCTCAGCCACACCGAGGTGGGACTCAGCACTGAGCAGCATGGCTGCAATGCCTGCGGGAGCCGAGGGGATGCAGTGAGAACTGGGGAAAGCCAAAGAGACGCAGATGCACCGTGATGGTGGGCTGGGGTCCCTAAGGCTGCCCGCTGTGATGGGACTGAGAGGCAACAACAGGATCAAGGGAAGCAACAGGCAAGAGGAACTTACTGCGACCCATCGTCTACACGCACCCAAATGATCTGATCCCTTCTCCTGGGTAACAGTGATAGGATGAGAGGTAATGGCCTTAAGTCGTGCCAGAGGAGCTTCAGGCTGAGTATTGGGAAAAATTTATTCTCCAAAAGAGCAGTGATGCAGTGGCACAGGCTGCCCGGGGGGCGGAGGAGTGACCATTCCTACAGGTATTCCAGATCCATGGAGATGTGGTACTGAGGGATGTGGGCAGTGGGCGTGGTATACTGGGATTGGCTTGGGGATCTTAGAAGTCTTTTCCAGCCTTAATGATTCTATGGTTCTATGAGTTGGAAAGGGTCGAAGGTGCTATACTCGAAATACAACTTCCACTCAGTTTTGGTGCAAACACATCCCACCCTGAGCCACAAGAGATCCTGGAACCCGCTCACCTGCCACATGTGCAGCCGCCTGCGATGTGCCGCTCTGCGCGGTGAAGCAGGTGCTGCAGTCACTGGAGGCACCAATGATGTCGTCCCCTGGGGCAAACAGGTCGACACAGCGGCCAAAGTTGGTGCCCAGCGTGCCAATGGAGGCTGGCTGGTCCTCACGGTTCGTGGCCCCGACCGTGATCACCTGGAGGGGCAATAACAAAGGGGGTGCGGATGGCTCAGTGTGTTCCAGCATGTTCCCATGTGTGCCCACAGCCTGGGAACCCCCCTGCCCGTACCTCCGGCTCAGATGCAGGTGAATACAGGCAGGCATCATCCTTGTAGTTCCCAGCAGCCACAACAACCACCGCCCCCATCTGCACCATCCGCCGGCAGCCGGCGTTCAGCACACGGCTGTGGGCACCGGTGAAGGGCAGCAGCACCACCAGCAGCGGGCTGGGCTGAGCTTCCAGCAATGCCCCAACAAATTCCAGGCCTGCGGTACGGGCCAAGGGCTGGGGTTGATGGTAGGGCAGGGCTGAGGTGAGCAGGGCGGGCTGCTCCCTCTCCCAGTTGGGCACTCACCGATGAGCGTCCCGCTGATGGTTCCCTTCCCCTGGCAGTTCAGCACACGGAGGCTGTGGATGTGTGTCCCTCTGGCCACGCCGGCATCGCGCCCACTCAGCACCCCGGCCATGTGGGTCCCGTGGCTGTCACATTTGCTGGCCTGGAGCAGGGATGATTTTATGCCCTGATGCGTCGCAGAAAGGAGGGGGGTTAAGCACCAGGCTTGCCACACAAACATAGGCTCACCTGTCTGTGGAAGTGGCTGCTGTCCTCCTCAGGGACATTCTGGAAGTCGGTGATGAACACCCTGCCTGCAATCTCCCGGTGGGTGCTCTGCACGCTGGTGTCCAGCAGGTAGATCTGCACCTTGTCACCTTTATCTGCCCAGGGAAAAGGCAACAAATCAGCACGGTGCTCCCAAAATGGGGATAGGGGCCTCAGAGCTGCCACACTAAGGGATGGGAACACCCTGTGCTCACTGGGAGGGCTGTAGGTGTCTGTGCCGGGCAGTGGTGGTACGATCCTGCCCAGGTTCCAGGGGATGCTCTGTGCGAAGACGTACGCATCCTCCTCTACGTAGTCCACATGTGGAAGCCTCAGTGCCTGTGGGGAAGTGCAACACATCCTTCTCAGCTCCCCACAGCCTGGATTGCACTCAAAGGTAGCCAAAGGCTGGGCAAAGCCTTTGGCCAGTCTCCAGGGGATGGAGATGCCAAGACGCAACACACAACGGCTGGGCAGGATGACCTTAGTGCTCCTTTCCAACCCGACACTGCTCACACCGTTATCTCCACGCTCGTACCACGTCCAGGACGTCGCTGCTCATCTTCACCAGGAAGGCGGGCAGCAGGCTGAAGACGTGCAGCAGCTCACTCGGGTACCCGCGCCGTGCCGCCCGCACCCGCAGCGCCCGCGCCGTGCCGCGCACCTCGGCCTCACCGCTGCCCGCCCGCAGCAGCACCACGTAGCGCCCGGGCAGCCGCCACGCCGCCTGCAGGGAGAGAGACACGCACGAGCGCTCGCCCGGTAGCGGGGAGCCGCACAATCCTCCCTTTTCCCTCCCCCGCCCCGCTGCTCACCTTGGCGGCCCGATGGAAAGCGGCGGGCCGCGACGGGGCGGCCCCTAAAGCGGTCGCCGCATCGTCGGCCGCGCGCTGGGTCAGCGCCGGCTCCGCCACCGCCAGCAGCAGCAGCAGCAGCGCCCGGGGGTCCATGGCACCGCCGCACCGACGGCACCGACGGAGCTGAGAACGGCGGAACGGTTCTGCCAGGCGCGGATCACGCCGTCGTGACCACCGGGACGCGTTAACCATTAACGGGGAGCCCCGAGGCGGGCAGCGAGCAGCCGGACCCCCCTCGCCGTGCAGCGTGCAGCCCCCCCCGGCCCTGCCCGGACCGCGAGCAAATATGACCGCCTTTACCCTTGCGAACCCAAATGCCCCCGAGAGCCCCCTCTCCTCCGTGCCTCTCGCTGCCTTCGTTCGGCGCTGTGTCGTGAAATCCTCTAATCCCATTCGGGCATTCCTCGCTGAGCCGTCACACGCCGCCAATACGGAGATCTCTCCTCTTTCTGGCGCTCCTCTCATCCTTCTGTCCCCACCTCCCTCCCGCGCTGCCCCGGGTCCCCCCCCCCCTCCCCGGCTCTGGGGAAAACCGGAAATGGAACCCCCCGTGGGGACCGCGATCTGCGGGGACATCCCCAGAGCTCTGCGGGAGGAGGGGAGATGGGGTTGGCAATGGGAAAAATAATCATAGTAATGTAGTAATTCGAAAAATAAATAAGGGAAGGTGGGGGGAGGAGGAACTCTTGCAGAAGACAGATCTGATTCATAGGAGAAAAAAAGAAGAAAAAAGAAGTACTGCATTTAAACTGAATCCTTTCCTTCGAAGGACTCTGTTCTCACGAGAGCCGTGATGTTTTAGTAAGGGTTTATGAAAAGAAACCGCAGCAGGCTGTGCACCAGCCGGGAATCGAACCCGGGTCGCAAGAATGGGAATCTTGCATGATACCACTACACCACTGGTGCTGTGCGAGCTGCAGGATGGACCCCCACCAGTACCTGCATAGAGGGTGGTGGAGGTTTTCACTTTGAACATCAGGAAAAGTATCTACCCAGGAAGGGAGTGATGCAGTGGCACAGGGAGCAGGGTGGTCACCATCCCTGGAGGTTCCAGAGCCCTGGAGATGAGGCACTGAGGGATGTGGGCAGTGAGCATGGCTGGGCTGGGTTTGGGGATCTCAGAGCTCTTTTCCAGCCTGAAAGGTTCTGTGATGCTATGAATGTCCCTGCCATGTGAGATGGGAAAAGTGCTCTACGGGATCCACGGGCTGAAGGTGAGCTGTGGCAGCCAGGCTCCAGGAAGGATGTGGGCCCACGCTGGGCAGTTCTCCCCAGCCCTGCTGCTGCTGCACTGTTTAGCCAACAGCTCGGCGCTCCCCGCCCTGCCAGTGGCACAAACACTGAGTTTGTGGAGCTGCCACCCGGCTCTTGTCACCTTGCAGAGGTGTGAGTGAAGGGCAGGGCAGTGCTGGGATGGGTGCTGGGGGCACAAGGGTCCCGGGAGGGGATGTTTTTTTGTGCTGAGAGCAGCCAGCATCCTTGGTCCACTGTATATGGGCTGCAGGAAGCCAATGGGCCAGAGTCACCTCCAGCAAAATGACTCAAAACACGTGCCCAAAGTTGGCAACACACAGCCCAGGGCTTTGGGCTCTGCCAGACCCCCCCACCAACCCCCAGGAGCCATTCCCTATGCAGGAGGTGGGGAGCACCCCATTGTCCATCGACAAATGGAACATTCCAGGGCACAAACAAGGAAGATCTCAGCTGCGGGAGTCTCAGAATCCAGCTTTAATTCCAGGGAGGCTTTGATAAATGGGAAAACTGCCGACATCTCCTCCCTACACAACCCATGGGATTGGAGCACTGCTGCTTACCTACACAGCCCGGCACAGCCCGGCTGCTTCCCAGCATGTCCTTCTCGCTGGCATTTGGGCTTCCCTGTGCCCATCCCAGTGCTTCCATGGTGCCAGGGCTGCACTTTGGGTGTCCCCTCCATGCAGCACCAGTCCCCTAGGGGACATCATTTTTCAGGCTCAAAGAGGTGGTCGCTGTCCTCGAGCAGAATGTCTGACCCCTCTCCCAGCCCATAGTAGAGATCATTCACCTTCCTGCTGGCTTTTTGTGGGGAGCCGGGGTGCTCACCCTGTCCAGAGCAGCCTTGGGGTGATGAGGGGCTGTCGGGCACAGAGCTCTCCAGCGAGGCCGTGTCCATGTCCTCCAGGAGGGACACCAGTGGTGCAGAGCCCAGGGGCGGCTGGGAGGGGCTGCAGGGACAGATTGGGGTGACAGTGACAGTGGGGTTAGCAGGATGCTCCCCTGGGCTGGCTGCTCGCCCAGCTCTGATATCAGCAGGGTAAATAATTTGGCACCGAGGTTCAACCCCCCCCAGCATGCATCTGACCCCATGCCCATGTGTACCACGTACCAGCTGCCAGGCTCCAGCTGTGGGGCTGCCTCCTGGGGGTGTTCTTGGGGTCCCCCCGATTCCTGGTGCACCTCTGCCTTTGCCTGCAGCAGTGCCTGTGAGCAGCTGCGGGGCCGGGGCTGTGCTGATGTCTGGACCTGCTCGTAGGAGGGCAGGCTCTTCTCGTAGGCACTGCTGTAGGGATCCTGCAGGCTGTGGGGTATGGGGTGTCAGGCAGCTCCCCATGCTGCTGGGAGATACGGGGGGATGCACACACCACATGGCTGCCAGGACATGTGTCCCAGGAGTGGGAGGCACGTAGGGACCCACTAAGAGCCCCCCGGCACCTACCTGAGTGTCTCCAGGTTGCCCTTCTCCGGCAGCAGCGTGGCTTTGTGGTCTGGAAACTTCTCAGCCTCAGGCTGCACAGGGACAAATGTCACCTGGGGGGAAGAAACGCAGAATCCAGTGGCTGCCATCTGCTTGAGAAAAAGTCTGCCTGGAAAAAAGCCCTCTGTGCCAGAGCCACGAACACGGGAGGGACGCTACTGCCCTGCCGTGCCCTCCGCCAAGGAGACTGGAGGGTCACAGCCATGCTCAGGCTTTCCCAGGCTCCCACACCTTGCAGATCCCACTCTGAGCTTCCAAAATCCTCCCCCAGAGCACCTGGATCCCATCGAGCCCCAACACCAGGACAAAGCCCCCATCCCTCGTGCCCTACCCTGGGGTAGCACTGGCACATGCTCCACGTGATGCCCACGGCGATGAGCAGGATGCCCCCAGCACAGAAGGTGGCGTAGATCTGGGGCTTCTCCACGCTCATGATGAACATCCCTGTCATCACCAGGAAGAAGCCCAGCATGATGAACCCGTAGCGAAACGTCTTCTCCTCGGCCATGGGCAGGCAGTGGGAGGGCTGACGCCGGGAGCTCTGTGCCGAGCACACCTCCAGGGACAGCAGGAGTGGTTTCTCACTGCGGAGGCTGCCGGGGGCTGGGGATCGGCTGCGAGTGGGGCTGGTCCTGCCCAGGGCTGAGCCAGCCAGTTTTTATGGCTTTGTAATGAATGCAAACAGCAGCTCGCGTTCACACTCCAGTGAAGCTGCCCGGCACGTGCCCAGCCAACCTTCCCTGCGGGCACAAGGGAGGGGATGGGGACAGCGAGGTGATGGGACAGGAACAGCAAGATGCTGGCAATATGGGGACTGGGCCACCACAGGTGTTTCCACAGCCTGGGATAAGAAACAGGGTTGTTGAGTGAGGTCGGCCGTTGCAGACTCAGCACTGGGCAAATCCTCAGCCCCCAGGTATTAAATTACATAGATGTGTATATTATATAGGCACAGTGGTGCATAGATGTATAGGTATACATGTGTATAGGTGTACAGAGACATTGGTGTGTAGGAGCAGAGCTACATCTGTATGTTTGGCTGTGGCTCTGCAGACACCCTGCAGCCCTGCAGGGGTTCCCTGGGCACTGCTGAGCTCCCTGGGATGCAGCCACCCACCCCAGCTGTGGGTTTATCCACTGCACTGCACACAAATGGGGGCTGAGCAACACTAGATGTCTTCTCTGTGTGAAATGACAAATGCACACGGACACCATGAGCACACGTGTGAGCAGCTGAGCATTTCTGAGCAACGTGAAGCCAGGCGTGGGAAGTCAGTGAGCGTTGGGAGCAAGGCGGGAGAGACAGGTGAGAGTGGGGGGCATGGAGGAGGCAGAGGATGTGTGGAGGGCATGGGGAAGACACAGAACAGAGGCAGCACACACCGTGCTGCACTGCCCACTGCCCCCGCTCTCCTTGGCACAGCCCAGACCTCTGCTCCCAACCTGCCTGCAGTCCCAGCTGGGATCTGCCTGCTTTCCCCCAGCTCTGTACCATGCTCCTTGCTGCAGGTGTATTTTCCAGCTCCTGCTTGGAGTGGCTGAGTGCTGGTGGGACCTTGGGGGTGGCCGTGCTCCATCATGGCACAATGGGCGATCGCTCACCGCTGTCATTCCTTCCCACTTTGGGGCAGAACCCAGTGTGGGTTGGGCAGGGCAGCCAGTGAGGGTTTCCGTACTGAAACACCAAACATTTGCAACCAGAGGTGGTTTTATTAAAAACACGAAGGCTTCCAACATGCCAGCTGCGAACATTGTCCCAGATGCATTGCTCAGAATGCAGGCAGCCCCGTGCCACCCGCTCTCTCCCCTTGCTGAAGGACGGGGCTCAGTCAGACACCCCGAACACTGATGTTCTCGTAGCTGGGGGGCGGCGTTTCCTGTGGCCCAGCAGGGCTCTGGGTGTCCAACCATGAGGGGCTGGGGCGGAACAAGGCGCTGTCGGAGGAGCTGAGGCGGCGGCCGCTCTGCCAACGCTCATCCTCTTCCTCCTCCTCCTCCTCCAAGTCATGATATGGCGGTGGTGTCAGCTCCTCCTTGCTCACTGCGGGGTGGAGGTACGTGCCATGAGCAGGTCTGCAGGTCAGGGCTTCTTCGTAGGTGGGGATGGCAGTGGCGTCCCAGGAGCTGCAAGGGAAGAAGGCACCCAGCAGTGCACACCATCAGTGGGAGCTTCTCAGGGCCCATCAATGGGAGCACCTCAATGCCAGTTGATTGGATCTTCCCAGTGGCCTCAACTGGACTATCTCTGTGCTCAACAATGGGAGCATTCCAGTGCCCATCAACCAGACCATCCCAGTGCCCACCAAAAGGATCATCCAGCTCCCTGACAACTGGAGCTTCCTACTGCCCCATCAGCCAGAGCATCCTTGAGCATGGGGACACACGCATGCTAGTGGTGGTACTTGGGTAGGTTTTGCACACCTGGAGACAAGGAGAGACTATGTCAGCTGCTGCCTGGCACCAGGAGGGCTAGGAGCTATGCAGGACGATGGACACCATCATCTGTTCCTTCTGAGTTGACTGACCTCACCTTGAGGAAGAGGAGATGCAGCCCCACGAGGTGCCACCTCTGGCACCAAGGGCCACATGCATGTGTCTGGCTGCAGAGCAGTAGAGGTGGTGCCTCTCAGTCCTGTTCTGTGCCACAGTGCTTCTTGTAGGCAGAAGAGCATCCTCTTAACAACCAAACCCCTTCCAGGGCCCCACAGCCACCCCTAAAGCACAGGAGCTGCTGGGAGCTGAGCAGGCGGTTTGCACGAGCAGCCAGGTGAGAGCTGGGCTTTCTTGTTCAGTGCAGTCCCAGTCCACCCCACGCTCACCTGGGCCTTCCATGTGCCAGCCCTGCTGCTGCTGCTTCCAGCTGCACTTTGCTGAGCAAACACAACTTGTGTACAGGGAAAACCTCCGCCCAACCTTTGCCCTCCCCATGCAGGATGCCAATGCTCAGCGATGGCCTCCTGCTGCAGTGCCAGGGTGATGTCAAAGTGATGCTATTCCATCGCTATGGGCGCCATGCTGGGGACACTGCTCCACTGATGTGAAGCCTACCAGAGCCTCAGACAAGCTCACAGAGCCCCAGATACTTGGATGAGCACCAAAAGCCCTGCAGAGCCAGGGACCAACCCCCTGGGTCAGTAATACGTCTTAGTGCTGCAGTCCCATCCCACTTAATGCCAACCTGAGAATTGGGTTTTTTTCCTTTTTTAGTTTTGACCCCATTTTGGTATAGATAACACAAATCCAGCCATTCTATAGAGCAGCATAAATTCATCCCGTTCACTAAAGACCATCAAAAACAATGCAGCACACTCCCTGTGCACACCAAAGAATGAGTGGCACTGGCCAAGGAGCCACAGGACGTCACACAGCTCCCACACTGTGCATGGGGATGGGGTTGGCCAACACCACTGCCCAGAAAATCACTGCAGCCTTCTGCTTTCTGGCTCTGCACAGGCACCCAATGCCCCGCAGGGCTGAAGTGCTGCTGGAGGATGAGCACAGTGCAGGAGCAGCCGGCGTGTGCACGGAAGCACGGGTTGATGCTAACGCACAACGGCATCCGCTCAGGAGCAGAGGGTTCGAGCAGCCGAGCACGCAGCAGCACCCACACCCACCTGCAGTTCCACTTCTCCGGGGGCTCAGCGGTGAAGTACTGCAGGTCGCGGGGGAAGCGGTACTGATAGCGCCGTGACACCACGCTGGCGTTGGCTTTGACGGACCAGAGCAGCCCAAAGAGGAGCAGGATGCCGCCGATGCCGCAGCAGAAGAAGCTGACGGAGCGCAGCAGCGCGTTGGAGGAGCTGGGCACGGCCTGGGCCTCGCTGGGGGGCAGGAGGTGAGCCCCGCTGCCCACTGCTGTGCCCACCTCCCCGTCGCTCCACCAGGCGAAGCACAGCGTCCCCGTCACCAACAGCACGACCCCGGTGATGGTGACGCCGTAGCGGAACGAGGCGGCCACCATCCTTCGGACGTTAGCACGGCTGGCAGAGGAAATGCATGGGAGCTCACGGCCTGCAACACAGGAGAGGGGTGGGAGGGACGAAGGTGCGGAAGAAACCTCCAGGACCAGAGCAGGGACTTTTCCAAGGGTTGCGCGCTTCAGTGTCCTCTTCCTACTCGATACCCACCGCCTACATAGAATCAAAGAACAGCAGAATGGCTGAGGTTGGAAGGGACCTACAGCCCCACCCCAGCTGCGGGCTGGCTGCCCCCAGCTCCAACTGCCCCGGGCCCAGCCGTGGCTGTGGGCACCTCCAGGAATGGGGCACCGCAGCTCTGGGCACTGCTGGGGCCTCCCCACCTCTGAGGAAAGAACTTCTCCCAGACCCCAGTGTGGACATCAACAGCCCCCATATAAAGCCATGATTATGTCACTGGTCACTTAAACGCACTCAAATGCACATAAACGTGCAAAAGAGATGACACAACACTCCCACCCCAAATGAGAACCACGGGCAGTCGAGTTACGGGGCGGCTCCAGGGATTGTATGGTTCTTGTCTCTGGGGTCTGCTGCAGACTGCCTCCCCACCTCAGAGGAATGCCAGCTGGGGTTCTGATCAAAGCAAGGCTTATTAGAGGAGGCAGGGAGGGGATGTAAATCTCAGATGTCATCACTCAGCATTGTCAGTGCACATTTTTCTCATCTGAAGCCAGATACAAATTAGCCTCATGGTGACAGTAGGTGCCTGGTGCTGCTACTCAAAACCAGGACCTGCCAGGACCAGGAGCTGCACCACTTCTTGCTTTCTCAGGGGCAATGGCCAAGGACACCCCCACAAGCCACAGGGATGCTGGTGTGAAACAGGGAAACAGCCAGGAGGCTACGTGAACTTGCCCAGGACAGGTCTTAAGACACCATGTGAGCAGCTGCTCCGCTGTGCCACACAGCTCAGGTCAGAGTGGGAATCCATCCCCACCTCCAATAAAAGCCAGGAACCTGCTGGACACGGGGCTGGGGCCACCAGTCCTGCACTGTGTGTGCAACCAAGGGCAGGAGGAGCTGGGTTATGTTGAGCCACTATTTATCAGATGGGCTCACTGCATGGAAAGTGAAATTAATTTGTAGTGAAAGAAGAATGGTCTGATCTTATCTACTTCTAATGAAGAAATCCGAGGAGAAAGGAGAGCTGGGAAGTCCACAGGACAGGGAGCACAGATGGTGTGCATGGTTCTCATCCCACGGCCACAAGCCCAAATTGCTGCCAGCAGCAGCCAGGGGCACCCAGCGGCAGCCAGAGGTCACATCTGGGCCCAACATGAGTCAGAGCTTCACCTCAGAATGAGGGGATGCCTTTTGAACAGAAAGGAACCGAGCTGACATGGAGAAAAAGTGCTCTCTCCGTGTTCGGAGCTGGGAGGTTTGGGAGATGCTGCCGGGGGGAAGGGGAATTTCAGCCCCCGCATTGCACGTACCTGGGAGCAGGGGGAGGAGGAGGAGAGCTTCTGGGAGGTGGCAGATTGACAGCACAAGAATGAGCCCTTCTCTCCTGACAAAACCCGCGGGGCTGAACGCTCCCCCAGCGCGGGGGCGGCCGCTCACGCTGTCACCACCGCCGCGATCCCCTCGGCAAAACCTCCCCGTCCGCCCTCGACCTGGCACGGCTCTCCCCGAGCATCCTTCTAAGCCCTTTGAACGCACCCCGTTAGAAAAGAACAAGGAAGCATCCGGAGGTGCCCTCATCCCGGCTGCTGTCGGCACATCGGACCGTTGGACCCATGGGACCCCCAGCGCAGCACCCACAAGGGAGGCTGCCGGATGCCCTTTCCGAGCTCCCATCTCCAGCATCCGAGGCACGCTTGGCTCTGCCCCATCTCCCTCGACCCGCCCTGAACCACGCGTAGCCGGGAGAAAGATTTGCATGTTGCATGTCCAAACAGACACAGAGGTTAATAGTTTACATAGTTCCAGCGAGATGCTGAGAATAGCAGCCCCCATATAAAGTTATGCAGATGGTGATTCATAGGGACTACTGAGCGTTGCTCGGAGAAACACTCTTTTCCAGAAAAACGAGAAACGAGAAGCGCTCCGAACCCCTTCGGACAGCAGGACCCGCCTCCCACCCATCCTTCCACCGCACGATGGAGGACTTGGAGCGCACCGACGTGCCAAGAGGAACGGAGACGCACCAATGCGTCAGCGCCAAGTTAAGAAGATTCCTTTCTGCCTCGGACTGAACTTGTCGGCGTTGGTGGTGTTGCGCTGTCAGCAATCAGGGGGTGGCACAGTCCGGACGCACGGCTCTCACCAACTTTCCAGCCGCATCCTATCGCCGTGCTGCCGGCGGGACCCGCGGCGCGCACAGCCCGTCCCGTCCCCGCAGCACGTCGGGGCTCCTCCGGCACAAGCCGCCGTTCCCCCCCCAACCCGGGGAAGAGCCCCGCGGTCCCCGTGCCGTACTCACCCGCCGTCTTCGACCCCGTTCCGCCCGGCGGCTCCCGGAGCTCGGCCCGAGGGGCGGGCGGGGCCGGGCGGGGCGGGGGGCGGGCGGCGGCGGCGGGGCCCCGCGGAGCTCCTGGGAGCTGCATCGTGGGCTTCGGGGTCCGCGATCTCCTAGGAGAGGGGGGGGTGGAGGTCGGGGAGGGGGAGCGGCATTCTCATCCTCGGGGGGTGGCTGGGGGGTGTGCTCGATGGGCCGGGTTTGTGGCTGCGTCTGAGGATGGTGAGGGCACAGCCCTCGGGGGTGCTTGGGGTGCAGGAGATGGGGAGAGGGCTGCGAGATGAGGAAAGCACAGACAGTGGGACACACACATCACTGCTGTGTGGCTGGGGCTGCAGTACCCTAAGAACCAGTACCAGGAACCTACGGGCGAGATACTGGTACCCTGTGGGTGGGACACCAGGAACTTCTGCATGGGTCCCCCCTGCCCTATAGATGGGGACACCAGTAACTTCTGTGTGGGTCCCCACTGCCCTGTAGGTGGTACACCAACACCCTGCAGGTAGGACATCAGCACCCCATGGGTGAGACACTGGTACCTTACTGCATATCCTCCTGGGACACCAGTACCCTATGGTGTGTAAGTGGATCCCCACCGCTCTGTGATTTCTGTGCTTCTCCTCTCTTTGTGGAGCCCTCCGTTCCCTCATTCCAGTTGGATCTCCTTGCTGCACAGCAGCCGTGGGCATAGCTGGATTTTAAACAAGCCGAGGGCGTTCTGATCTGAGATTTGGGATGAGCTGTGTGAGTGGCAGCTGGATCAACGCATGCTCCTGTTCCCACAGGTGCAGGCAGATCTCACCAGCAGCTGTCACACCACGCTGTGGTTGCCGAGCAGCTCCACAAACCGTGAGCTCCAGCTGCTTTCAACACAGACATCTTGTGGACACACTTGTGCTGCTGCTGAGCCCCGGGCTGCAGCTCCTCACAGCCTCACAAAGCTGCTGCTCAGCCTCACAGCCATGGGGGCTGCACCACAGCGTGGGCTGCAACAAAGGCAATTGAAAGGGACGAGCAACTGAGCAACATTTATCCCTGATAAGACTAATAGAGTTTCTTCTGGTTGGAACAATGGGGTATTTTTATAGCTGTGCAGTCTTTACATAACCAACACCTTTGAGCACTTGTTTCAGCTCCCCTTTTCCACTTTTTTTTTTTCTTTGTTTTGCACACAGCATTTCTGTTTTCCCTTGGCCTAGGTAACCAAACCCTGAGGTCTGGATGCTGCACTGAGCTGAGGTTTGATGCTTTTGGAGCACAGCCTGGAGTTTTAGCGCTTTACATCATCCGGGTGTGGGGCCATAAAATGCTTGAAATGTTGAAATAAATGAAAGCAGACAGGTGACTGAGTGACAGCAGGATGGCGACGGCCAAGGCAGCAAAAGTCTGAGCTTTATTTGGAGGGAAAGGGGCTGTGAGTACATCTGCTACCAGGAGGCCAAACACACATGCAGACTTGCTGGGAGCTGAAAACAGGAGAAAAATTTGGCCTGCAGAAAAAGACATCCTCCTGTATTTGCTTCTGGGGACATCAGCAAGCCCTCAGCATCACATCAGCCCCAAATGGGTTGTGTGTGTTCCCCAGCTGCCTTTGCAGCAGTTCACCTTGGGCATCCTGGAGGCCACGGGCACACGTGTGTGTTACAACTCCAAACTATTTATTGCATGGGGGGCCTCTCAGGGACTGCAGCTCCTTTCTGATTCCCAGCACAGTCAGTGTCTCCTGGATCTCACTGATGGAAGGAGCCGGGGACCACCATCACCTGAAGGTTCAGGTTGGATAGCAGGAAAACATTCCTCTCCAAAAGAGCGGTGATGCAGTGGCACAGCTGCACAGGACTCACAGCTGGACTCCCCATCCCTGGAGGTGCTCCAGAGCTGTGGGATGTGGCACCGAGGGATGTGGTCAGTGGGTATGTTGGGATGGGTTGGGCTTGGGGATCTTCTCCAGCCTTTGTGGCTCTCTGATAGCACAGTCACTTCTCAGCCCACTGCCCCAGCACAGTGGCTGTGTTGGGCCATGAAGGCTCATCAGCACTGCCCAGCTGCTGCCTCTCCTACACAGCCAGCCCTACCCCAGCCTGTAAGCCCAGTGCTGGCCCCCAGCTGCTCCAGCACCCAGCTCCTCCACCACAGCCACACTGCAGGGGCTGCTGAGGACACCGGCCCTGTGACAATGCCTTCCTCTCCCAGCTCTGCTCTGTTTTGACAAGTGATTGTTCTTATAAATCCCAGTGGTTGTAAAGCTGGGTTTAGTGAATACACCACAGCTCTCGGCACGTTTTTTTGGCAGAATGTGCTGACCTTGCTTCCCAACACAGCAAACAGGCTCTGAATGCTGGGCCCCATCCCACAGATATTCCAGACTTTATCTCACACCCCACATCTGCTTTGTCCAAAGGTGATCACTGGGGTCCCAACCCCAACCCTCCCGTATTTTTTCCTTAAACCTCTAAAGCTGCAATGTAACACCTCTCTTCAGTCACAGGATGTATTCCTCAGTATCAGCACAAACACTTGCCAACCCCCAGGTGCCACACAGAGCCATGCTGCAGCCTGTGTCCTTCCACACTGTTTGTTCAAGGTGCTGAAATGTGCTTTGGTTTCTCAGCAGAGGGAGCTTCTCACGTACCAGTTTGAGCACCAACACGGGCAAACCCTCTGAAATCACATCCTGTTTACAGGTGGGACTCCTGACCCCCCCATAACCATGAGCTCAGCTACTTGCTGGACAAAGAAGGCTTGCAGCCTTTCCAAAATTCCTGATTAATTTTCATCACTAGTGCTACTGCCCATCCTTCTGACATCCCAGTGCCACCCGACAGCACTCTGGCAGTCAGTACCAGGGCTAAGGGAGCTTGCATGAAAAGAAGAGCTTTCTCACTCTCTCAGTGCCTTCCTTTGGTCCCTCTGAATGCCTCTTGTCGCTCTTCTCACAGACACCCAAGTTTTCAGCCTACTTTTGTCTGCAGCTCGCATGCTCTGCGCAACATCATGTACCTTTACAGCTTCATCTTTCCATTCTTTGTCCAAAAGCTGCAGCACAGCCATTGCTAAGTCCAGCTTTAAACCAACAAAGTGCTGCCGGTGTTGGCAGAGCAATGTGATAAGCACTCACCAAGGAGGTGATCCATGTGCTTAAGAAGCCCCTGCCCTATGCCTACACAGAGATGTGTGGGGCACGAACTCAGCAGAGAGCTGATCAGGGCAGGAGGACAAGAATATTTAAAAAGTATTCCTCACTTAGATCAGCTCTCCAACCTGTTGTACGGTGACAGCAGAAGCATTTGTACTGCACAGCATGCCCAGAACAGCACGAGTGGGTGGAAGGGATGGCAGGAAGGAAGAAGACTGCTTTTTTAAGCACCCTTGAAAGGATAATTTAATTGAGGAGAACTGGGATTTCAGTCTTACAGAAGACTGATCTCAGCTTTTCGCACCACAGTTGAAAATGATGCTTTGCTAAGCCCGCACTGTTTGCTGGATGAAGTTTTGCTCACACCCAACATAACTAAAATTGAAACAATTCAGCCTTAAAAAAACCTGCCTCCCCTTCCCTCACCCCCTCAGATTCCTGTACCTGGCACCACTACGCATGCAGCTGATTCCACTGCAATCTGAACAGTCATTCATTTCTGTTCCTTCCAAGCAGTTTCACATTGCAGTCTTTGAGCTCACCTGCTCCCTCCTTGTTGCGCAGGGCCTTACAAAAACAAGAGCAGAGCATGAGAAATGTTATAAACACTGTTAATGGATCTTCATAATAAAATACAAATAAATAAACAGTTTCAAAGCATTCTTTACACCGAGGGTGCAAATATCCCCTTGTGAATAAATGATGCTGTCATACTATAAAGCCTGCATTCAGTCACCCTTAGATGAAGAATAATTATTTAGCTCCTTTAGAGAGGTTAAAATAACCTCATGTAGGGCATGGGAAACTTCTCTTCTGTGCATAATTCCAGCCAGCAGGCAAATTGGTAAGCAAAGGCAGATAACATCGGCTTAAATACAAGAAGGAAAAGAGCTAGCAGACAGCCTAGGCACAAGTGCAGTGAATACAATCTGGCCGTGAATAAAGTTAGAGTGAAAATCAGAACATTTCCAAACGTCAGAGCAGCAACATTGCAGAGCAGTCTTCTGATACGAGCAATGAGACGAAAAAAAATGAACCAGGTTCAAAGCAGAGTCTCTGGGTTTCCTGAAGGAGACTACAAGGTGTGACTGAGCTTTGAACCGTGATGCAGCAATCCTTCCCAGTCCAGCACTCCTGAGTCTCTGCTGTGGCAGTCAAAGGTGCAGATCCTGCTTCCAAAGAGGAAGAGGCACTATCTGACATGTCAGCATGCCATGTCACGACGTGACAACATCGGCGTCCTCATGAAATACCCTCATACCACATTCCCGTGGCACAGGGCCAGCCAGCAACTCCTTGGTGGACTCTCTGAACTCAGTGATGCTGTGACTGGGTCTCTGTGCCCCCAGAGCAGCAACCTGAGGCTGATGGAGCAGGGCTCAGGCCGCCTGCTGGCACTGTGTGAGCACGTTCCTGGAGCTGCCTGCAGGACACCGCTGTCACCATACTCCTCTCTAACACTGCACCTCTTGAGGGACTCTAGCTGCAGAAATGCCTCATTTTCCTCAAGGACGTGCTGTACGTCTGTCTGCTGTCACGCTGTGGAGAGTAGGAGGAATTTTCCATCAGGGTTTTAGAGAACAAGCTCCAGAAAGAGTCTGCCTCTTTCTCCTTTCTACAAAGCGGATGGCAAGCATCTTGGAGTTTCTGTGGGGCACCAAAACCACCACAAGGCTGCATGAGAGGCATGTGACAGGGTTCTGCCCCCCAGCCTAAAGGCACCAGCATAATTCCCTTTGACTGAGTGACCCTGGGCACAAAGCAGCTTCTCCACAGAGCTGCCAATGCCCTATGACAAGACCCATTCCCCTATAAGCCCTGACTGGGGGGGTCCCTAATACCTCAGGCCCTGTTCCCATCCCCACACCCTCGCTCTGATCCCAATACCTCAGCTCTAGCCCCATACTCTCACCCAACCAAGGGGTATCCAATACCCCATCCCCAACAGAAGGCCTCAAATACCTCAGACCCCATCCCCAACAGAGGGTCCCCAATACCTCAGATCCCATCCCAGCACCTCAACCCCGATTGCAGGGACCCCAATGCTTCTGTCCCCGTCCCCATCCCCATCACTTCAGTCCCCACCACGAGGTCTCCCGTACCTCAGTCCCCAGGGGCATGGATCCCCAGTCCTTCAGCCCAGCCCGGGGATCCCCAGCCCCCAGCCCCGCACCCACCCCTCGTCCAGGTGCCGCCCCCGCCCCAACCCCGGCGGCCGCGATGAGGGGAGAGCCGGGCCGACCTCGCTCAGCCAATCAGCGCTCTCAGCGCCTGGTCCGATCTCCCCGCAGCTCTCTGATTGGTCTCTCCCCTCCCCTCGCCTCAGGGCGGAGACCGGCGGAGACCAATGAGACGCGAGCTAGAGGGAAGGGAGGCGGGGCCGGGCTGCGAGCGCGCGAGCAGCGGGTGCGGTGCAGCGGGGGTCCGGCGGTGCGGTGCGGTGCGGTGCGGTGCGGTCGCCATGTCGGCTGTGTGGTCGCTGGGAGCGGGGCTGCTCCTGCTGTTGTTGTGGGTGCGGCACCGGGGGCTGGAGGCCGTGCTGGTGCATCACCGTTGGATCTTCGTCTGCTTCTTCCTGATGCCTCTCTCCATCCTTTTCGACGTGTACTACCAGCTCCGCGCGTGGGCCGTGCGGCGGATGCACAGCGCTCCGCGGCTGCACGGACAGCGCGTCCGGCACATCCAGGAGCAGGTGAGACCGGGGGGAGCTGGGAGACGGAGCTGGGGGCCGGCACTGGCCGCTGGGCTTCTGCTCGTGGCTCTCCCGTCCGGGAAGGGGAGGCTGTGGGAGACCCTCGGCAGAGGTTGGGGCTGCTGGGCTGCACGGTCCCCTCCAACACGGGGCGGCCCGCGGTTCTGTGCTAACGTGGCCCCTGTGGTGGTGTTTCTGAGGTGTAGTTTTGGTTGTTTCCTCTTGCAGGTGCGGCAGTGGAAGGATGAAGGTGGTAGGAGATACATGTGCACCGGTCGGCCCGGCTGGCTGACTGTGTCACTGCGTGTTGGGAAGTATAAGAAGACCCATAAGAACATCATGATCAACCTGATGGATGTTCTGGAAGTAGACAGTGAGAGACAGGTAGCACAACCTCTCATAATACTGAAATATACAGCTTTTGTTTTACTATATTTGTAGCTGAAGTGGAGCTAGGCTCCATCAAGAACAAAGGATTTTTGTAGCAGTAAACCCACCAAATTTTAGTTTTTACAGTGTGGGCTTGGAACATTCTATCCAAAAACCCAGCATATGGAATCACTTAGCTCTGTGTGCCGAAGCCTAGAAGACCAGAAGGATTGATGGCTCTGGGCACTGAGCAACAAGACGTTGAGGCAGAGGAGGAATCACTTAGCAGTTACAACTATTTTTAGGACTGCTTTTGGGAAAGCAGGGCTCTGAATTCTGATAACAGATGGAAGTGCGATCCAGTTATTTGTCATCACTCATTCCAAACACTTAATTTGTGACTGAGTCTTCTCTCTTTGTAGGTTGTTCGCGTGGAACCTTTGGTCACCATGGGCCAGCTGACTGCACATCTGAATCCTATGGGATGGACTATTCCTGTGGTGCCAGAGCTTGATGACCTTACTGTAGGTAAGGGTTGTTGTGATGAGAAGAAATGGACTCATTTCCTGCATTTCATTTACTTTTTTGCACTGACTCATTGCTTTGTGTGAACCTTTCCTAAAATACACTGTTGAACTTTGTTCTGGTAAAAATCACCTCCGTTCTGAAGTATGTTTCATTGGAACTGTTATGTGCTCCCTCAATCAGGTGGTCTGATCATGGGAACGGGCATTGAGTCTTCATCCCATATCTATGGGCTTTTCCAACATACCTGCGTGGCCTACGAACTGGTCCTTGCTGATGGAAGCCTTGTGAGATGTTCACCAGTAAGACAAAATGTTATTTTGCTATTTTTTGTTATGTCATTGGCAGTTATCAGTGTGGATAGATGATTTCGTATGACGTGCTTTTTGCAGACTGAAAACTCAGACCTATTTTACGCAGTGCCTTGGTCTTGTGGTACTCTGGGTTTCCTGGTTGCAGCAGAAATAAAAATGATTCCTGCCAAGAAATACATCAAATTACACTATGAGCCTGTACGAGGACTGAGGAATATTTGTGAGAAGTTTACTGAGGAATCTAAGAAAAAGGAGAACAGTTTTGTGGAAGGACTCGTGTATTCTTTGGAGGAAGCTGTCATCATGACAGGAGTCTTGACTGATGAAGCTGAGCCAAGCAAGGTAACTAAAGTTGTTCCCAATGAAAGCAGTACCCCAAAGTTTAACTGACACCTTACAGCCATATGACGATATAGAACTAGGACCATAAGAATTGAAAACACTCTTAATGTGGGATGAAAAGTGCAATCTGTCTGTCAGAATGCTTTAAATCGCAGCTCTTTGTAATGACAACAGAGCCTGTACTCTTCAATTAGGGAGAAGCGACCCATTAATTTCCATTAGTATAGCAAATAATTTAATTTACTGTGTTTGCATGTCAGTACTAAGGAGGAAATATCCTTTTTCATATACAGAACACTGCTGTTCCAAATTGCAGTTGTTCAGAGTAACTCCTCCAGCACGCTCTTAAAGACAGCCAGTACTGGTGAGACCAATCAGAGATGTGCACAGGAGGGATGTGCTGCTTGTTCACTGCACTGCTCAGCTTGGATATTTCTCCTCTGCCTTCATGAGGCTTTGGATTAATGAAGGCTTGAGAGGAACTTCAGGAATCCGGTTCTGCCACCTTCAAGGATTTTTAAGCTGCTCATAACAGGAAAGCCTTATTTAGACAAAATCTTAATGAGAGGAAAGATAAGTGGCCACCAGGCATGTGGCAGGAAGGAGAAATGAAGGCTCTCTGGGTTTCTTGAGACAGTGGAACTGTCACAGAGCGAATAACATCGCTTCCCATTGTAAAGGGACTTCAGGGACGTACTCAGTGCTGTCTAGTAGTTACTGTTACCTATGTTGGGATGTGCTAATGAATCTCTCTTACAGATAAACAGAATCGGCAACTACTACAAGCCGTGGTTCTTCAAGCACGTGGAGAAGTATTTGAAAGCCAATAAGACTGGAACTGAATACATCCCCTCAAGACATTATTACCACAGACATACACGCAGTATTTTCTGGGAACTCCAGGTAAGAACAGTTTGAAACTTGAAATAACATTTACGGGAAGGTACTCTGCTGTTTCCCAGTGTATGAACATTGTAGCTTCTTTTCCTTGGCAACACTTAGGGCATTGTATCACAACTTCCTCATTTATGGCTGAATGCTTTTCTGAGTGTAAAACTTAGGCACGTATTTAAGCAGTAAGCCTTTATGCCTACTGAGTGATTTCTAAAGACAGTGATAAAAACACAAAGGTGGAATTGTGGCTGAGGATGTGCCCTTCCTAAACTTGCCTAAGCACATAACACTCATTATAAGGCAATGGCATTAATTTGAGTTATATAAACTTACTTCTTCTGATGTGCAATTATGCAAAAATTTTATTTGACATTATGAAAGATTCCTATTGCTACATTTTGAATTTCTTATTGCTGCATTTTGAATTTCAGCTGCTGGAGAAGGTAAGCAAACAGGAGTTTGCTGTGTAACAAGTACTTCAAATTTTACAGCTTTAAAATACATTTAAGACCTGATCTTGTGCCTGTCAGTTCTTGCAAGAGTTTTGCAAGTTTCTCTTCTCAGGAGCTCCTCACAGCAGTTTTGAGATAATAGCCTGCTGTTCCCTGAACTTCATTTTTCTGCAAGTATTTAGGGCTGATGAAATATTGTGAGTTACACGAGTCTGTAAATCCTCTGTGGTAACAAGGAGATGCTTAGGGAAAGGCTCAGTAGCAAAATTCAGTTCAGACTTCTCTTAGTTCAGATTTGCATTTAGCAAAAGCATCAGCAGTTACATTTATTGAAAATTTCATTTAATATTTCTCTGAGGATTCTCAACTATTGTCTTCTGGTTCAATTACACACTCTTAAGTCAAATTTTTCTCGTCTTTCCTCTTTAAAGGATATCATTCCTTTTGGCAATAACCCTGTTTTCCGCTACCTCTTTGGCTGGATGGTTCCACCCAAAATCTCTTTGTTAAAACTCACCCAAGGAGAAGCTATTCGAAAGCTGTATGAGCAACATCATGTTGTGCAAGACATGCTGGTCCCAATGAAAAGCCTTGAAAAATCCATCCAAACCTTCCACGTTGACCTTAATGTAAGAACATGTGCAGTGAATCATGGAGTGCTTGTTGCAATATTTGTGGCCATTTGTTTTAAGACATAATATTCAGCTTGTGTAAAAGGTGATTAAACATGCATTTGGGTGTTGAGCTAGTTAATGGGGAATTGTTGTTCCTGGAGCACACTGCAAGTGTTCTGACTGAGCATCTCAATCTATTATGGTGACTAGAAAGAGGCTCTAAGGACTGCAGCAAGAGAATTGAAAAAAAAAGCTGTGTAAGATTTAATCCCACCTTGGGAAGAAGTCCTCTTAACTCTTTGTCACCTTTATTAAGAGATTGCTTAAATGATTATTATGTTAAAAATCATTTACCAAGTGTTTTCTTGCCTCTGCAGGTATACCCTCTTTGGTTATGTCCTTTCATATTGCCCAATAATCCTGGTATGGTCCACCCCAAAGGGGATGAAACAGAACTCTACGTGGATATTGGAGCTTATGGAGAGCCCAAAACAAAACAATTTGAAGCCAGGGCTTCCATGAGGCAAATGGAAAAGTTTGTGAGAAGCGTGCATGGGTAAGGTTCCCACTCCTTGGGATGATGCCAGTGCCATATAACTTACATCTGTGTAGTTTCATCACTCCTATGTTGCACTGCAGCAATTTAATACTACAACAACTTAAAAAGCATAATTGTATGTTAGTTTAATTATTAATTGTGATGCTGCAGTTTTATAATATGCTTGCACGATCATGATTTGATTGCAAAACCAACCAAATACGTGGGGTCACCGATGGAAGTTCGTGCGATGTGTTTGGGAGCTGGGCAGCATCCAAACATGTTGCCTCGCATCCTTTCAGCTCCATGCTGCTCTGGGAGTAGAATCTGCTGCAACAGAGCTGCTCCATGCAGTCAGAAGGACCTCAGCAGGTCCGTGCAGGCGGGATGTAAAGCAGCTGCTGTCCCAAGGCAGCGTAAGTACAGC